GCTTGGAGAGCCTGGAGCTTGAACATCCATATACCCACCTTAAGAGGTTGGAGACTTCATCAATGCAATGTCATCCAAGATGAATGAGACCAAACGCATGCACATTTTTTTTAAGTTGCCTGATTATCGCAAAGAATTTTGCGACTTTTTGCATGTTTTTTGGCATGGGCGATTTTTGTTGCATTTTTCGTGATCGCTGTGTCTCCATGGTGTTGGTCCATGTAAACAAAGTGTCCCTTTGAAGTCAGTGCTTTGATGCACCAGTATCTGGACACCCAACATCTTGGAGTTTGAGCATAATGATTGGAGCTACGTGCCGAAGGAATGTTTTGACAGTGCTATTATTGTGAATGCTGTGCATTGCGGCAGAGGTCGGGAGGCATGATTGGCATTGCATACGGCAGGATCCTGCACGTGACAATGCGCGTGAGGTTTTACGGTAGCGATGTCCTATGTTGCAGGCCATGGCACAACATGATCAGGCCGATGATTTGCAATCATTTTGGCTTTAGAGGGTGTTGGTAGCTCTGCCGCCCCGTGGGCCGCTGCGGAGCCACGCTCGCGTTGCGAGCTGCGGCAGGCTTGCTCATGTTTGCATATATCACCCAGGGACCGGGCACAATCAACTGCGCTTGCGACATATGCTAACATCTCCAATGTATCCATGCGCCAGCCGTGCTTCCATGCATTGCGAATGCTCTGTGGACAGTGCGGGTTCAGTTTTGCTCAGGTAGGACGTCAATAGTCATGGACGGCCGGGCAATGCACATGTTTTTCTCCGTCGCGGGCCTGGTGTAAATTTGCACGGGGAGCAAGGAAATGGTATGTTACATAAACCGTACCATGTGACCGTTTGCTTTTAGCACCGCAAAGAAAAGATGGCTTAGCAACCAGGCACTTAGCTTGGCTGCTCTGTGCCTCTTGGTCGCCCGTGCAAGGCTGAGATTTCCTGGCTTGTTTGTTTGTACGTTGTAGCGACAAAAAGGGGTTGTTGCAATCATGTGCTTCAGTCTTTCAGCCCAAGGCCAATCCAATGCATTCGTGGCAACACCGGGTCAGCAGATGCCATCCCAGCCTTTGCAGCGACTGGGGTCCTCAGCCTTGCCTGTAGCCGCTGCCTTAGCTATGGCAGAAATGCGCATCCTTGTAGGTCAGCGCGAGTTTTGCAGAGAGAGCCTGATTGCTGTGTGGCGTATTCTTGATACAGGTTCCTCATGCGCCAGAAGAAGCAGGTAGCGTCGGGCACCGAAAGGGCCTTCTCATCATCAGCTGCAGTGATTTGGAGTCGATGCCACCATTCATCGCCCAAGCTCCCCTGCCAGACATCTAGCAAGCAGTGCTCCAGGCAAAAGACAGTTCCTGTGCTGCCTCTGCTGTTTATGGTTCAAGTGATTTTTGGATAGTGTGACCCAGCAGCCTGGACTTGTGTGCGCCACTTAAAATTGCGTTACATGATTTGGCAAGGCTGCAAAGCGGATGCTTGCATGTCTGACGGTCAGCCTGTGAAGCGCGAAGTGTGTCAGTTGCTTGTGCAGCATTGCGTAGCGTTACTTCTCCTTGAGGATGTCCTGGCTGCTGGTGCTCTACCTCTTGAGTGTCATACCTGCTGGCACTGAGGCCAGACGAAACGGGCATGTTACAAGCTGCAGGTTCAAAGAATCCTCAAGCTGCCGGCGCATCGAAATGCGCATTCAGACAACAGGAACTCCCGACCAATGGATGCACCATAACTGCCAGGTTGTGTCGCATGCCCGGGCAGCATTTGGCACATTGACCATGTGCAAATATCAGTGATGCGTTGTACTACCAAGGTCGAAATTTTCCAGAATATCAGCAAAAACAATTTCGGGATGACCTGGGGGAGTCTCATGTGTCTTGCTTGAGCATGCACTGTGGCCTATTCCTTTCGTGATGCATGAAGTTGTTTGTTGATGTTGAAGCCCTTCAGGAATCATGTTGTCTTTGCTTCTCAGAGCAAGAGGCAGCAGCAGTGAGAGCAGCTACTGAGGTTGCTGCTGGCAGCAATGATGCTGCCTGCCTGAAGAGAGCAGAGGACAGGGTTCTGCCTCACAGTCTGGTCAGCAGCGCTCGTTTGCAACAAGTCTTCCATGCTGCTGTCCTATATGACAGCACGTATGTAAACAAATGTTCAAGCTGAAATTAAAGTGATGAGGGCTTTTCGTGTTGTGAAGTACCATCTTCAGAGTTCTTCGTACTCTGGAACCCATGGCTGCCATGGCTTGTGGGGTCGGGCTCGCAGCACTGCTGCATTTGTTCAGGATTTCCACCACTGGTGTGGCAATGGTGCGACAGAAGATGCACAGGTAGCAGCCACTTACGGGACAGACCAGCTCTCGCAGGTTCCTTGGAAAACCACTGGGAGTTTGTCCAGCTGTAATGTTGATGACATGGCGTCAGCTCTGGCATGGGTTGAGAGCTTGGAGTGTGGTAGCTGAGAAATGCCATGTGCTAGTTGTATTGCATATCCTAGCATCTTAGACCAAACCAACATTCTGTCTGCACCACGAAGTGCAGGTTTACCATCCCGGCGCCTGCCATCCTGGGTGGTCCCAGTGGGATGCTTTCTGCCGCTTGGTAATTAGCTTCGTGGCTTAGTTTGGCATCGCTTGCAAGACTTTGCAAGGGCAAAGTCTTGCAGCTGACCTCCAATTCAGCGTGCGCGTTTGGTACTTTCTTGGGTCTTCTTTCTCATGATCTCAAGTTTGCCCACAGCCTTCGTGGCCCCCCATTCTTGCCTTTATGACTAGCTTGCGTTGCCTTGAGGCTACAAACATTTCTGGGAGAAGAAGACCTGGTTCGAGGCAAGGTTCGCCTACGTTCAATGTGGCCAGTGAAATCTGTGTCAGGCGGAAGCCACTTGCCGACAATTCGGAGAAGGATCTCATTTGGCCTCCATCCACTCCCGAGCTGCCTGGCTGCAGTACCACGTGTTCCCCTGCTGATGGGGTTTGTTGCCCAGTTTTGGCCGAAGTTCAGCGGAGGCAGAAAATAGATTTATTTACACACTGCTCAGCCCTCAGCCATGGTCAGTGCTTTGTCTTCTCTTTCTCTCGCGGGGTCTGCTCCATATTGAAAAACATAAGAAGCACCCCCTAAACTGAGCCATCTAGCCAAGCCAGCAGAGGCATGTGTAGCTGACAAGAACCGGCCTTGAAGCTGCTCAGGACAAATGGGCTGAGTGCCTGGATTGGGTACACCGATCTTGACCAAGACACGCACTACAAGTGGAGTGACAACACTCAGGACCACAGCAGTAGGAAAGAGAGGAGGATCAGAAACGACCTGAGGCGTTTTTTTGTTGAACATATTTTTGTGATTTGGACGCTGTGCTGGTCAGTCGGTCGGTCGGTCGGTCCGTGGGCGGGTTTGTTAGTTTCGGTCGCTCGTCGGCCGGTCGGTTTGTTCGCGGTCGGTGGATATAAGTCAGTAAGATGCTATTGCTAAAAGCCCGCAGACGATGATCAGAACTCATGAGGGTAGTTGTCTCATTGTATAATCCTTTCTTCCCTGCCCCTGACATTAAACGTTTCCCCCCATGTAGCTACTCCGACCCGTATTTCATATTGGGGGGGGGTGGAGTGGATTGGCCTTGTATAATAGGATCCTATTGAAATCTACTTAGAAATCGAAATAAAGATTGATTTAATCAAATTAAAAGACCTACATCTAATTAAGATCAAAGGAAAATCAATTAAAACCGAGTTAAGAGTAGTTGACATTTGATGTAATCAAAATCTAAATTAAGCCATGTAACATCTATTGAAGCCTAATCAAAATCTATTTAAAACGATTTGAAGATCGCAATAGTTCCAGGAAAAATCAAGCAGATCCCGAATTCTTGAGAGTCATGCTAGGGACCCCCCTAAATTCAGGGGATCCGAGTCCTAATTGACTTTAGTGTGGCCCTTTAAAAAGTGGTCTCGGGGCAGATTTCAATGTTGGGAATGCTGGCAAACCAGTATTTGAAATTAGGCAGTTCCCTGATCCCGGAGCCCCCTCAAAGCCATGCCCAATGTTACATCCCAGTCCTGGACTCCTCCTCCTCCTCCTCCCCTAGTTCCAATTTAATCAATTCCTACTCTTATCGTCTTCCAAGCTTCATAATGCTTTAGCTACCAGCTTGCTAACGCACCTGACCAATGGCATGGTAGTTTCCATATGTTTTTTCAGTAATCCTGTGCCTTTCAACCTTACTAGGGAACGAAGGAATGGATCCCTGGAGTAGTCCCAGTACAATCCCCAACAACCAACCCCATGTTCCTCTGGTTCACTCCCAACTAGCCATGCCATGTAGGTCAGAAGCATGAATGAATAATAGCATTTTTGCTTTTGGAACCCTAGATGAAGATGTCAATTTAGACCAAGAATCCCTGCGAGGACTGCTTGCGAGAACTTTGCTAGCCAGGCTATACATGTTTTCCATGTTGGGTCCGTGCTTTTGCAAACGGGGTGCATATTTTTATTTTGAGTCCATACTTTTGTATATGGGGGGCTGCGCTCCCACACACCCCTCCCCGCTTTCCATTTTGAAGCGAAACCCACTGCTTGGGAGATCCTTGTTATAGTGGTACACCAAAGAGCAACCTTCTTTGGGTTGGTCCGTGTTTTTGCAAAAGGGAGGGACCCCGCCCCAAACCCCTCGCGTTTGATTTCAAAGCAAAACGGACTGCTTGGGAGAACGTTGCTAAACTGGGCAAAGGGCTACACGTTTTCATTTTCATCCATATTTTTACCAATTGGTGAGGGGCTGCGACCCCAACCCCCGGCTTTCCATTTTACAGCGAAGCAGACTGCTTGGGAGAACGTCGTTAAAGTGAGCAAAGAGCTAGATATTTTCATTTCTGTTCGTGCTTTTGCAAATCGGGGGGGCGGGGCAAATCTGGCTGCCCGAGACCCATGCGAAGCGACCTTCGAAATCCGGCCTCCCAAAAGCGCTCCTGCGTGAAGTGTCCTGGAAATCCGGCTGCCCAAGAGCGCTTTCCAGCTCGAAATCTGCATTCCGGCTGCGCCAGAGCACTCCCGCATGGAGCGCTCTCAGGACCCAGCTGCCAGTGAGCACTCCCGTGTGAAGCGTCCTGATTATTCGTTGTGGCTGCCAAACCCCGAAACCAAAAACAAACGGCAAAACACATCAGAAAATACTGAAAAACCCAAGCCCTTTTGATGCCGTTCGCAGGATGACTTCTCAAACTTTGCCAAGAATTGCACCGGTCGCATTTCCTCGGCAATAGGTTTGCATGTGCGGCTTACACGTCTGAGCTATTTTGGAGAACACCTTGTGCGCAAGCACGATATGACCAAACTGAGGCGAGCATGAACCGGACTGCAAGCCCGAAGAGAGACAGCAGCAGTGGTATGATTGGGAGGGGCATGATGCAGGCACCTTTGTGTGCAAGCGGACGCTGGGCTGCGGTGAGGTGAGAATCTGTGGCGATCTCCATGCTCTCCATAGCACCTAAGGAACGCTCTACTTCCAGTAGCCCTCCTGCGGAACGTGTCTGCAAGGACGACGCAGAATGAAGTGCGTGTCAACGGATGGAGACCTCGGCTCCAAGTCCGAATTCCGCTACTGAGCTCGCTTAGCTGGATATGCTGCTGTGGACTGCAGCAACTTGCAGCAACTTGCAGGACACTTGTTACCCGAAGCTGGGGAGAACTGCTGCCGGCGTTCGCAGCGGGAAATGGACCCAGGCAGGGTTGCGCAGGGGACAGTCAAGGATTCTCCATGGTTTTTACAACCATCAGGCTGAGCCAGAACGACACACTGCCAACTGTGAAGGTGGGCTGCAAGTTCGCTGCATAGTCGACTCAGGACTATGAAAACTGTCTGCAAGGTGGGGGAAATCACAAAGCCACCGCTGCAACAGCCTGCCGCACCTTTGTTACACCTTCACTGCCTCGCATGTTTTTTCGTGCAAAAGCTGTCAGCTTTGGATACTTCAAATAGGGTGCGGCTTTGGCTGCGCTTTGCTCCAAGGCTTCCAAACCTGTAGCTCCTGAGCCACGCTTTGCTCTGCCAAAGGCGCGTCAGCTTGGATCTGCATGTCATTCCGTGTTATACCTCATATCTTCATATCTTGTATCGCTAAAGTTTTTGGCTAGAAGGCTTGGCTTTGCTTGTCCGATGTTGCCAGTACATATTGACGCCACTATGCATCCCTCCTCTGGATGCAGGGATCCTGGTTCTGAGCTTTGACTAGGAAGGAGGCAGGGCTTTTGCAAGCCAAGACGGTTGGTGCTGAGCTGCTTAGCGAGCAGGCCGGCCGTGTACATAGCCTGCATGGCAATTCTTCCGAATGCTTCTGGATGTTATTGGGGAACAATCCAAACCTCTGTTTTTTGGGTCGAGATGTTTCTGCTGCGGGACTTGTGCTTCTAAATGTTGTCTCTGTGAAGGTTTTCACGGGAAGACTTGCCAGAAGGTAGCTAGCCTCGCGTGTTTCACCATCACCACCACCAGTAAGCAGTCAATAGTCTTGTGGCCCAAGCCTTTGAGGCAAAGAAGGCAGTTGTTGCAGGTTTCTGCTGTATCGCACAGGAAGATATCCTTCCCTCAAGCCTGAGTCTTTGCCATGTGCCCAGTTGCCCACACGGGGCCTGGGTGCCTTGGCTGCCGCCTCGGCGCTTGCCGCCCTGGCTGCAAGGAGGCGGAGTGCAGGCCCCAGACGGCACTTTTCAACTTTCCAAAGCTTGGCTTCTTCGCGTCTTCGCTCTTCGACCTCAGTACTGTGGACTTGGCCTGGTTCTGCTGCAACGTATGTGTAGAAAGTGGGTGTTTCAAAGGACGAGTGTGTTTGATGCTAAGGCCGGAGCGAAGCCAAAGCCCCTCGTGTCTGACATGCACGTTTCCGATTCCAACAATTTCTGGTGTTTGACATGTTGAAGCCAGGTCGTGATGCAGGTCAGGAAGCCGACGCGCTATGCCAAGCCCGGCTGCCAAGCTGTTTGCGCCTTTGCCCTCAAGCCAACCCTGGACCGCATGTGGTCCCGATGAATTGACAGGCCTGCTGCCAAGGGCATGAAGCCAATGATTCACAGAAAGGAGACCAGGCACGCGACAAAGCCATTTGTTTTCCACCAAAGCACGGGTTATATAGAACTGACACAATATCTAGGCCTGTGCAGATCAGGGGACAACGATAAGAGCAAACAGAACGATATCATAGTAATTTTTGACATTGGATGGGAAGCGAAAAGAGTAAAAAGGCTTGATAACGTGTTGAACTGGATAGAACACTGGCCTTCAGGTTTCTGGCGCGGCCTACATGACATCATTGTAATTGTGACGTGCTGGTAGTTGCCTAGGGACGGGATGCTTGTTTGTAATGTCTCTGGTTTGGGATCAGGGCCGACAGCTGCTTACATTGTGCTACAAGTGCCGGAGAAGAAAGAACTTTGACGCATTTGCTCCCCGTGCCTGCTGTCTTCCAGTGAGATTACCGATCGGCACTGATTTCTTGCGTGAGTCCAGTGCCCCTGTCAGGGACATCTTCAAGGATGGCTTTGAAGGTCTTCGCTCTCGGCGGTTTTCTGCTTGCCTTCGCTGCACCATGACCTGTGGCATTCGTGCGGGGAATTGTGATAAGATACTGAGCTCTACAGCCTGCAAATTGTTACATGTACCTCTCACACATCGGCACAAGCAGAGATCATGACAGGCTGGGTGGCGAACAAAGACAAAAATTTGGAGTTCATGGAGAAGGCGGCGGCATTTGGCATGCCTCAGCCAGTTGAAGCATCCTTGTTGCATAGTTGATGACTGACAGGTGGTCCGTCAGCAGTTGCATGGTCGAGTCCAGTTCCAATTTGCGTTGCCTGGCAGATATGAGAGAATGCAGACTTGAAGGAGGCCAGCAAGTGGACTTGCGCTTTTGTAGCACGTGGTGTTCAGGTCACAACACTTCTTCGACAATGTTCCCATGGCATCAGGAATGTCTCGGAACAAACGTGCGGGGGCCTGAAGTCCACACAAATTCTTGTGGCACTTGTGACTCGCAATTGATCCAGACGTGGGCTGTTGCACGGCTGAGGACTTTGGTATCTTTATGAACCATGATTATGACGACATGTTCTACGTTCGTAAGTGACATCAGCTTGTTTTCCATGAAGGCACAATCTACGGGAGCGTGGAATGAAATCATGACAGGTTCTTGGAGCCTGCAAAGTTCAAGAAGCTGGCGCTGGGAAACTGGGAGATGCAGTGAACCCAGTAGTATCTGGTGAGCTGGTGTAAACGAAGTCAGAGATTTCTGTGCAGTAGGGGGCTCAATCGAGCTTCAAAGAGCATTGCAGCAAGCTCGGCAAGCTTGCAGGCCGGAGAACGCTACAAAGTCGGTCACCATGCGTGAGCTTGTTGATGCAGGCTCTCTGCACATGGTGCTTCACTTGATGTCATCATACACAGGGATGCAATCTGACATCTTAAAGCCGCAAGTAGCCGCCGCCTCTGGAGTTTCCAAGGGAGATGGCAGGCAAATCAGGCAACCAAGTTCCGAATAATGTGTGCAGGAGCGCAGTACGGGCACAAGTCCAACAAGTTGGAGTCCCAGAGCATGGCATGCTTTGCCTTTTGTCTCGGCAGAACAGCAGATTTCTGTACAAACGGTATCTCTGGCTCTTTCGCGGAACCTCAAGTGAGGTGGAATCCAGCAATGCTGAAGTATCTCTATGCTGACAATGATGCGCGGCCCCTGGTTGGCTGTGAAATCTAGAGATTTCGTCCCGAACGGAAGGCGCGTGCTCCACAATTCAGGCTGCGCCAGTTGGCATTTGGGGTGCAGGGCAAACTAGCATTGCCAGAAAATGATCGAAAGTTTAGTCAGCAAGACTGGCGGTGGTTGAAGGCACTGCAGACTTGTAGACTGACTGCCACAGTCCGTCTGGTGCAAGACCTTTCAAACTTCTGACAGGAATTTGGAGGGCTGGACAATCAAATTATCAGGCTTGTGCCACGTGGACGAAAAGGATTGGTGTAAATCCAGTCTGCAAAATGGCGACAGTCTTCTCCATTCCATGCTCTTCTTCAGAATTTTTGAATGCGGGTCTTCCATCCCAGATCCAGAGCATTTCATTCCATACTCTTGCCATCATGTAGATTGCCCGTGTACCCTGGTTACTACTCGTTCCATGCCCGTTCCAGACCATGAACTTTGCTCTGCGAGCTCCATAATGCTCGTACTCATGTGCGCTCTTGTCTTGCTGGGTCCGAGTCAAAACTGCTGACCCGTTATTCCAAAGGCCCCCCACTTTGGTAAACACGCGTCAAGCAAAAAAACAGTGGAACTGCTTTGGGCAGTTTTTCGCAACCAAGCTTGCAAGCGAAGCACACCCAGCGCCTGACCAGATCACGCGATTGCCTTCCGCTTCGCTCACTACAACCTGCAATGTCAAGCACATGCTACAGACTCATGAGACAGCACAAGGTCATTGTTGCATCTTTTGACGGCCCTTACGGGCACACCTCACCAGATTTCGCATGTGCGGTCTGAGAGCCACAGATGATGAGCACTGCAGGGCACTCACATCTTCGATTTGGTGCAGACCGCAGCCAACCTGAACCGAGCCTGCCGGCTTCTCAGTGTCAGACGATTTCACTTTCAATGACAGTTTGTTTTCGATTATTGAGCTTGCTCAAGGTTATTATGTCCAGGAGGCAGCCGCCAAGGGTGCTTCCTTCATACTTGTTGGCACCAAGGAGACTTCAAGAAGCTGCAAAGTACATGCTTTCCCGGCAATGGATCTTCGCTTGTTAAAGTTTGAGTGTCTGCAGGAGCAGGCACGACCAATCGTGCGGAAGTATGGCGAGGAAGCTGGCATCCACTACACTGACTTGAAGCCTGCCATCCCTGATTCTCAAGAGCTGTGGTCCATTAAATGCCATGCTGGGGTTGATGATGCGCACTCCAGACATGGGTAGTATTTTGTGTGCTTCTCCCTTGCCCACCCAAAGAGAAGATCAGCTTCTGTCAGTGAAATTACAAGGTCGTGCACACATCACATGAATGTCCACTTTGTCTTCCTTCAATCTGACAGGTTTGTGGGTGGCTTGATCAGCAACTTCCCTGTGATTCGCAAAGCAGTTGAGCTTATGCAGAAGCTTCGGGTGTTGCTGGCGATATTCAGTGGCCTTGTGTGTTTAGCTGGAGCAGCCTGGAGTAGCACAGCCTGAACTCCATTCATGTTGTGAAAGACTCATGTCGCCCTGGGATGCGAAAGTTAATTTGCTACGTCAATGATTGAAAGCTACAGTGCATGACATCGTCATCTCACCGCTTGATTTGGCCGTTGTGGATCCATAGCACACCACCTTGCTAGCCCACATGCTGTATCATGTATGGGTTTGTTTGCTGATGCAACAGGTTTAGGTGCAGCTATGACAGCCCCAATTTGTAATAAAAACAAAGCTCGCTTAATTTGTGGCGCGCAGGCAGTCGTTTCAACAGTGTCTGCTGAATCAAACACAGGCCATGCTTTGCCGATAACAAAATCAAGTTCGGGTGGTGAAATTGAAAGTCAAATCCGTGAGACCAAGATGTGTAGACTGGATCCTGGATGCATCCCTAACTTTGCCAGGAAGAGAAGGCGCAGGGAGCTTGGAACATCTTCAGCGAGTTCCAACGCTTCCGACTGACGTTCAGGGCTGAGAGCTTCTGAGTTGGCTCAGTTGTTGTTAGCTTCATAGATCCTGAAGAAGCCACAGCCGTAAGCATCCTTCAGCTCCACGGTCATGATGTCATGCGCTTCTCTCTCAGGTGCAAGCTGGAACGCCTTACGAAGAAGTACCATGGTGTGGAGGAGATGGGCTGCCGTGTTGCATTGACCTGTTCGAGCACCAAGCGTGTTGTGTGTAGGAAGATCGGATATGCACTCAACATTAGCCACCGTTTCAGGCAAACTGTAGTATTGTAGTGGTGGTTATACTACGGCCATGCAAAGCGTTGCACTCTGTGCAGCCAGCACCTAGCAGAAGGCCAGCCTGCATGCCGCGAAAACGGAATCCCATCAAGGATTCCATTGGAGTCAAGTTTAAGTCCAAGATAAGTTCCGTCTGAAACGCAGTGTTCTGGCATCAGGATTTATTTCCATTGCCCAACCAATGGATGGGGAGTGCGTAAACGCGAGCCCCGCAATGCATAAGTTAGGCTGGATGCACAAAAAACATGGTTGACGGGTATGCTGATTTCCGGTCACGACTGCTGGCAGGCGTGGGAGATCGTGCAAAACCTTTTTTGGGCAGGAGGCAACTTCAGTCGTACAGCCACTTGTCGTCCTCTTCGTGGACCAAGAAACTCTTTGGATCACAGCCCAGCTTTCCAGCCCTCGATGCTTATGCACATCCCAGAGAGTTCAAAACGCTGTGGAGCCCAGGCTTGCTCAGCAAGCCGGCATCCAGGGCGGAGTTTGGACAAATGGGGCGAGGATAAACTTACAGCAGAACTTCTCACGCCCTGGGACTTAATTGGGTAGCTTGGACTGCTGGGAGCGATTTTCGGACTGACAGGAACGATCCTTGGACTAGTAGGGCGGAGCTTGGACTAATGGGGCAATGATCCAGGGAATTCAAACTCCTCACACCCTTGGACTA